TGAACTGAAAAATTGTTTATAAGAATTAGTTTTTTACGTTGACTTTGTATAGCACTTTATTTGACTTCTTAGCTTCTAACTGTACTTACTCTATGCTAATCTTGTTATGCTATAGTAAAGGTAAGTAATTTCTTGAAATTTTCCTAAGGATTTATAGGCACATGTTCAGCATTTTTCCTCAGCTTCCTTATACTGTACTTTTGATTTGGTAAAACTTTTTGTTTTAATTTTTCTGCTTAATATGAATATTTCTTCCATAACACTCAGAGGCTATTTGACTTTATATGAAAGATGAAAATGGATTTTTAAAACTTAACATTTATCACTGTTGCAGAGTTCAGCTCTATCATAGTTGGCCTTTTTGTTAATAGGTATCATATATACATTATTTTCCATCTCTTTCAATTTCTTACTTTCCCTTGTAATTTAATATTCAGTTTTATGGAGTTATTATTTAGCATTTTCAAAAAAGGACAAATGTAACTTCAAAACCATGGAAACAGTTGATCATCTTTTTTTAAAAAAATATTTCGCTAATGTAGTTACAATTTGCCTAAAGCTCTTTTTCTAATTGGAACTTAGAACAAAGGAAAGAGAAAAAATTATAATACAAAAGACATGCACATGTTATTTTCTGTGAAGAGACTTCCATGGAAAAATGGGTTGAGCCAGCAGAATCCTGTACATACTTGTTTTAAAGAAAGACCTATTATATTTAGCAATGTCTCAAAATGGAAATCATTGCAATATAGACAAAAATAATCATATCAATTATCTGTATAATCACTTTTCTTCAGATATTACTAGAATAACATAAATAGCAGCCATATTGTTGTTCATGCACCATTTTGGTAATATAGGATTCATAATGCTTTGGATATTCAGAAAAACGTAGGAAATAAAGACTTTTTTTCTTGCATTCTACCTCTTGTGCTTTAATATATACTTTTCAAAATAAAGCTTTGCAATAAGATATCTAGGATGTTCATGAGGACAGAAAAGGAATGGCAGAAGTTCTTTCATGTATTACATTTGGAAATATATGGGAGGCAGGTTCTTATTTTCCTATTCCCAAAGTTTTTATATATATAT